AATGAAATACAAAAAAAGCAGGAAGGGAATAGACAGCAGCTTCAACCGACGCACCCAAAGATCCCCAAACTTTTTAATGGTTTATATCTAGACACCAGATCTATTTAACCAAACCCCATAATCTGAATTTCATCTTTTCCTAAACTGACAAGTTTGGATCTCAACTGTGAAGTTCAAGCACATGTCAAAAGTGACATGGTGACACATGATACCTTACAGAATGCAGACCATGACAATTAAAATAGTCTCTGTTTCTGTGTGTACACGTATTAATTTAAAATCCACTTTTGGGGTCATTCTAGTTGAGGCTTGTTATTTACATTTTTCTGTTTCAGGTAGTTCTTTATCAGTAGGTGGCAGTAATAGATGATCCTATGCAATTTCTACTTCATAATAGGAATTTAGGAAATAAAATGTCCTATTTTAGTATAATGCGTCTCATTTCGTTTATTCACAAGTTTGAGTATTGAGTATATTTGAGTATCTGCATTTGATAAACTCAGGCATGCATCTTCCTCTTAGCAAACAGAAAGGTTGTTCCCATACTAGTTCTGGTATTAGTGGCTACACTTAATTTAATAATGCTAACTCTTCAATTAGATGCAAATGTACAATATCTATTTCAAATATTGCTCACTGCATTGTACTTCACTTCCACTTTCAAGGTATCATTCTCCCTAAAGATGAAATATGCAGGTGCCTATAACATTTTATATAGCACTTATTCTGGTAATTTTGCCTATTATTCTTCACACGTTATGGTACTATTGAAGTCAGTGTATTGTCTTAAACTTATTCTTATTATTTTTCTGTACTAGACACTTCTATTCCTTAGCCAAAAAAAAAAAAAAAAGTTTTCTTTCGTATCCCTGAATCAACAAATACAGATTCTGATGCAACCTTAAAGGAGTGCCAAATCCATGATACCTTCTAGGCCAATGCATATAGATTTTTACTTACACAATGAGGAGACAGAAAAACTATATATCAAGTCCTATCAAAGTATGTCTTTTGTTCCTCCATTGGTATCACAACAGTAACTTGAACAATAATAGCTATACTGCTGTTCTAGACTTTAGTATTCACCTTTTCAGACCATTGTTTTTAAAGTGTTCTTTCCTTCTGCTAAAGTTGATTCTATTGTTGTAAGTCCACTGCCGCAAAAAGTCATTGTCCCATTAGCTCCCTTGTTACAGGATACTCAAGCCTTCTTCTCAAAGCTCCTCTGAACCAGTTGGGAACATCTCAGTTTATCTTTGCGTCACTGACACTAAAATTTGTATTTCCTATAATCTATAGACTGACCTAGAATAGCTTAATTTAAACTTCCCTCCAGCATTCCCCTCCTTCCTCCATAATTTTGTAGAGGCTGGCTTAAAAATCTTGCCCATTTGCACTAGCCAAGCAGCTTGCTAATTAATTTAATACCTTGTGTAGGAAGGAGAATTTGGCACATAACAGCAAAAAGGGAAGCAATTTTCAGTATTGAAATGATGACATTTTAAACTGAATATAAGCCAAGGAGCTGAATCTAAGGAATGCAAAACAGCCCACCTCACAAATACTACCGATACGTAATAATTTACCATTAACTCACCATTAGGAAGTCTTACCTCATCATAGCAGCAAACACTAGGATAAGTTGAAGAATGAGTTGCTAGTAGTATGTCAAAAATCCTTCAGTCCAACTTCTGTTCTTAAAATTCTCATTCTGTGAGATGACAGCCACACTTTACACTGTTAACAGTGAACATGCATTGTTTTCTGGGCCTGAAATACAAAGTGACAAGCCTAACGGCACATGAAATAGAAAGCACAGAATGTAAGACTAGGAGGAGAACAGGACTGGTCTTGTTCTCACTGAAGTCAGCGAGAATCGAGTCAGCCAGTTTGATGAAAACAAAAAGTCATTGCTACAAAAGATACCTTACTCTTGGACAGTCCCATATTTGTTGCTGTTTTTTTTTTTTTTTTCTGAAAAACATATAGTACCTCATGAAAGAACATGCATTTAATTTTAGAAAAATGTTCAAAAACTTTCAGACATTTTTGTGTAGAGTTTGAGGCAAGATGTTTGAGCATTAAACTCTAGTAACAATAGCAGACTATCTAAACCATCGCAAATGTCAAAACAGCAAGAAATACAATAATGACAAAGACATTGTACAGTTTGAAGGTTGTGGATGAAAAAGATAGTCTTTAAAATGTTGATTTGTGGATAAAGCTGGCATGAAACAAAAACACATCATGCCATTTTCTTCAGAGAATCAATGTGCTGATGCTCTTCTTGAATAAAGGCATATATTCCTATGTGATCCAAAGCTATAATAATTATTTTGCACTGCTGATCTGCCAGGTCCCTTTTTTCAAACGGGCAGTTTGCCAGCAGTATATATATCCTTTCAAAGAAGTGGTAAATAAGACCCCAATGATATTACAGAAAACGGTCCTTTTTCCACAAAGGTGATATGCTTACACTGTTTAACCTCTTCAGGTGTATTATAGACATCTGCTACAATGAATATATGCGATATATTATACTCTAGTTGATTCCTTTTTTTAGAAGCACAAAACCATCTTAGTATGTATAAAATTAATTATCTGATTAAGTTGTGAACTGATGAGAGAAACCACACACATAAGAGTTGGCTATTAAAAATATGATGTTTGATCCCTTCACAAATAATTCAAGAAAAGTTTTGAAGAAAAATCTCATGCACAAAACCCTCAAGCACAAAACAATGACATTCTCCTTCTCTTCTGACTGGGAATACTGATTTTTTTGTAAATACAGCTTTTATAACAAGCGATGCTCAAAGCTACAGTGAAACGTTTCAATCTTAAGGCTTTAGATGCTAAGGCCAATTGGAAACAGAAAGCAAGCTGTTCGCAATTTTGCAATAAGCTGTCGCCATTTTGTTATTTTAGAGGAGAATGTTAATGATGAGCCACAAATGCAAGTTCTCACAAAGCCTTTGAGAATAAAGCCGAATGGCCTATATTCCTCTTCCTTGCTGTTCCAGTTTAAAACCATACATGCAGAAGGACAAATGCACATGTTGCCATGGTGATCAGAGCAGTTAACAAATCATTTACAGCGTAGGAAGGATTCCCTAAAGACCCTTATTAAGCATTTTGTTGCTTCTTTTTAAAAAATATTTTAAGAAAACCATTTTTATTTCACTGTCAAATAAATAGCTACTAGGGCAGCTAAAGCCTATTTCTCTATCCCCAAAATAAAGCTGAACACACCAGGCATTAACGAACATTCTTGTTAAGTTAGGAATAGGAATCTTAAACTGAAAAGTTTGAAACGGAAACCAGTGTAGAACCTAAACAAGAAAAATCTGCTTTTCAAAGAACACATAACAGTATCCTATCATCCTCGTCAAGATGTTTGAATGTTTCTCAGAATAGGTACTATGAAGTTGCTCTATGCCTACTAGACTACTGATGTTTTCAGCTGCCACATCTTCAAATGAAAGACGTCACTGAAGACTACTGCTTACAAGGAATATAGTTTTTACAATATTACAAGAAGCAAATTAGCAGGGAGGTTCAGTTTATGACAGATTTGGTGAATGAGCTGGCCTGCGGCAAATCCATCCGTCTTGTGTGATTAGACTGGTGGCTGAATGTAGCTGGTTGCATCACACTATCCAAGTTGATTGGCAAAGCAAATAAAACTCTACAATTAAGGTATCTTGTATTTTTGCTGTACAAAACAGTACAAAAAACAGTGATGGAAATTGCTAAAAATGTGCTGAGGAAAGAATATGCACGGTGGGCTAAATCGAAAAGGTTTAATACACCAACCTGCCCTTTTTTTAGCATCCAAATTTAACATTTAGGTATTTCCCAAGACCCTCAGTTCCTCGGCTATCCTTTGCTTTGTAGATATTTATAGTGTTTATGAAATCCAAGTTTCTGCACAGGAAATACGTTCTGCTATGGATGGTTCTTTGGAGCCTTGACTCATTGAGACTAGTAGAGCTCTCTAAAGAAATTCTCTTCAGCCTGATTTGTAGGACCTCATTGTATAGGCATTTTCAAGGAGTGCTTCTCAGCTCAAACTCCAGCACTGAAGAACCCAAAGAAACAATTTCCAGAATACTGATACACCACACAAAGTACAGTAGAGAGGGAACTCTCTTTGTATGTTTGACGCAGAGCCAAGTTCTTACTATACCACTTTGGAACAGGGAAGCAAATCCAAACCTTCACTATCTCACCTGCAAAGCTACAGGTGTAATCTTAGGTGAATGTCCCACTTGGCTAAGGATATATTTCAGTTTGCATAGTGAAATATTTATCGGGAGCTAAAGAAAAGCTAACTCAG